GTGGGTACCGGGCAGTGGGTACCGGGGGACGGTGGGCACCGGGCAGTGGGTACCGGGGTACCGGGCAGTGGGTACCGGGGTACCGGGCAGTGGGTACCGGGGCACCGGGCAGTGGGTACCGGGCAGGGGGTACCGGGGAGCGGGTACCGGGGAGCGGCCGCACAGCCCGGGCGGGGCATCCCGGGCAGGGAGGCGGGAGAAGCCCCGGCCCGGTTGAGCGGGTGGCTGCCCCGGCCCGGTTGAGCCGCCCTAAAGGCGGTGTTCCGGGGTTAATTCGGGCACAGATCGGTGCAGACACCCCCGCGGGGCTGTTACCGTGGGCTGGGGCTCGGTTACCGGGGCTGCACCGACTCACCGGGACAGGCAGCGGCTCCGGTTTGCCGCAGCTCGGATTTTTGTGCTGCACAGCCCCGGTACCGGCTCCATCCTCCCGGGGTGGCTCCTGGTGCTGCTTCCTCGCCATGGGAAAAATGCGCGATTTGGTGATTGCGATGTAGAGAATATTTGATATTTTAGTAAAAGCCCTTCTGCTCACACCAGCCTTTGGTATAAGCGGTGATATTAAAGGCTGATGTCCTTGAAAGTCGCCTGAAGCAGAGAGAATGAAAGGAAAACAATAGCCTTGTGTACGGGAGAAAAAATGTAAAGCAATCTGTGTTAGCCAATGGTAACTTGCTCAGCCCTCGGAGCCTGTAAAACCCGATAAAAGTGTACTAAAGATAGAGATAAACCATGTTTGCAGGGCTTCTGTGAAGACTAGGCTGGACAGTCTGAGCGGTTTCTCAATATTGTGAAGTGGAAAAATAATAATTACAGTTGTTCTGTAATTCCCCCAGAAGTGTACCCTGAAAAATCCGGGAATCCTTGGCATCAGGACACTGCTGTGTGTGTCCCTTCTCTTCCAGAGGCCATCCTCGTGTCCCTGGGATATTGCTGAGCTTTCTGAAATCCCAAAACACCCCTTTTTTATTCCTGCAGAGAGCTCAGCCAAGCGGCCCGTGCTGGAGCAGGCACGGGAGGGATGCTGAGCGGTTTCCATGCTGGGAATTCCTGATTCCGAGCTCGCTGCTGCATCCAGCTTCGCTCAGATCCCAGATCCTTGGTTACCTCCCTGCTGGATTCATCCCCCTGTGACAGGGAAAGGAAGTGAGAGGAGTGTGCTAACTGAGGCTGGCAAGCTCAAGCCTCGTAATTCAGATAATTGTGCTGAAAAAAGAACCTTTGCTCCAGTGCCGAGCTTTAACCCCCCGTTAACATGCGAGTAAAACACCAAATTAACGTTTTTAATGGCTTCAGGAGGATTTGGTGTGTGGGAAAGCTGGAATAGGAGCCAGATGGATTTTTTTTTTATTTTTTTTTATTTTTTTTTAAAGCACTCTTGGTTCTCTAAATAAAGTGGATCTGAAATAGCAGGAGCAGCCAGCACGAGTTCTGGCGCAATGTCAGCAAGTATTGTTGGACTATAAACAGCTGAGATCTCTGTCCTGGCAGCTGCTGGGACCAGCAATAGCTGTCTTGTGTTCCTGACCACTGCCTAAATTCAGGCATTTGACTCCTGCCTTGCTTCAAATAATTCCTGCCTTGATGAGCTGAACTGTTAAAAAAAATAAAAAAATAAAAAAAAAAAAAATTCTTTTGGCTTTTGGCAGATATAAATGTTGGAAATCATCTGGTAGCTGATCCCCTGAGATATTCCAGTGTCAGCTCAGAAATAAACTGTGGTATGTTCCTAATTTAGTTGTCCCATCTCTATTTCTTTTGCCTGTAGAAACAGGAAGTAGCTGATGCAAATTTGGTGGTGCTGACAGCAGTTTGTCGGGCTCGGTGTGAGCAGAAGCGTAGGTTTGACTTGCTTTGGCTGGAAACCCAGCATTTGTGTCTTCCAGAATGTCTAAGAAAGGGCTTCAGGTTCATGTGCTGTCTCAGGCAAGCAAATAATTTCATTTTTTTTTATTGGTTTTCTGAGAATTTGCTCACTCTGAGGCTGGGACATCATCTCCTTGATGTTCCCCAAACAGGAAACTCCTCTTGCTGTGATGGGCAGGCTTTGGGGGTAAACTGATGTTTTTACCACTAAAATCCCTTCCTTTTATTGCTCTGCTCAGGCTGTTTGTGGCACAGCGTGTCCAGAGCTGTGTTCCCAGGCTGGGATGGGAATAAAGGGCAGTTGATAGATGAACAAATGTGCTGTGAAAAGGAATGGCCCCTCTGGCCCTGGGTGAAATGTTTGCTGCTTCCGCTCTGCTGGTAATCAAAGTTCAATTGAATTTGAAGGAGACCTGGAATTAAATCCTGTGTTGTGGTCTGGGAAGGGAGAGCTACATCTCCACCCTGTCAGGGAACTCCAACCCTGCACAGGGAGCTGGAAAAGTCTCCCTCATCCCTCTGGAGCATGGGGTGCAGAGCAAAAATGATCCCTGGGTGGTCTGGAGGACAAAAATGATCCCTGGATGGTCTGGAGGACAAAAATGATCCCTGGATGGTCTGGAGGACAAAAATGCCTCCTGGATGGTCTGTGTGTGTGTGATCTTCCTCTTCAGAGAAAGGAAACAAGATCTGATCCTTTGCACTGGGACTTCTGAAGTCAATTTGTTGCTTTCTGTCGAATTATTTCACATTCAGACAGGCCAGTTGATGAAACCTTGTCTAGATGCAGTCCAGGCAGGTCCTCTGCGTGGTTGTTTTTGTTTTCCTTGCTGAATTTTAATCTCTGGGTTGCAAACTCGGGTTTATTTACAGCTCAATCTTTTCATTTCATTCTGTATGAGTACCCAGGCAGCAGAAATAGCTTCATCCACAGGGCAAAGAGCACAGGGAGGGTGAGTCAAGAGGAGGGACTGACATCCAGGACTTGAGGTTGCCTGCACTTAGCTCCCATTTTCCTGCCAATTTACCAACTGACTTATCTTTTAAGTTGCCTTAATGCCATCCATTAAAAGGAAATTAAAATGAGTTCACCATCTGCCTGACAGCACGAGGTTTGCAGAGCTCAGGAAAAAAACAAGGGAAGACTTGTCAAACAGCAGGGAGAGTGGAAGGAATGGGAGTCCCAAGGAACTCTGTGATTTTAGGATGTTAATCCCAGCCAGAGCAGCGTGTTTTGCTGCTGAGGGAGGGGGAAGGAAGCAGCTTTCCATCTGGACTTTGAGGTTGGTAATCCTGATCCGAGCTGCAGTTTGCTCACTGGGGCTGATGAGATTAGAGCCCGGAACGCGCTGGGGCTCAGCAGAGCAGCTCTTCCCTGTGCCACATCCCCCTCCAGGATACAGATCCCAGGAACAGGTGGCTGTTTCGGGGGAAGAGCCCACACTTTGTGAGATGCTGGCAGCGGGGGAGGCACAGCCCGGCTCTTCCTGGGCTGCGGATGCAGCAGGAGCGGAGGATCCTGCGGTCGGGCGTTCTGCATCGCTCACAGTTAAAGCAGCAGAGCTGTTCATTACTCTGATGATAGGGGTGACTGCCGTGCAGTTTCAGCTTCTCTGGACTCTTTTTTTGGTGTATCTGGAAGGCATCCAGTGGCTGCTGGCCGGTTTTATGCCCCTGGATCAGCTGTGAACAGAGGAGGAAACCGCTTCTCTTCCTCTCCCCTGCCCCCCACGGCAGAGCTGCCTCTCCTGATGCAAGCAGGCCCCAGAGGGGTGGAAAACCGCCTTGTTTGTCTTGTGACATCAGTGCTGGGCTCATGACTAACGCTGGATCTGCCCCACATCCTCTGGAGATGGGGTGAAAACCCTGAGCTTTGAAGCAGGGCTGAGAGGGCTTGTGAACAAAAGCAAAACTCGAGTGAGAACTTGAGGTTTCCTCTCCGAGGGGATCCGGTGTCAGCTCAGCCGAGCAAACCCTGCCTTCCTCCTTGAGCGTTCCGGGGAGTGTTTTGGGAAGGACCCCCTTCCTCCAGGCAGGGCTTTGAGCTTCTGCAAGCTGCAGGAACCACTTCAGAAGGAAGCTGTGTCCAGGCCACCATCGTGATTCATGCTGGAAAATCTTTTGATGAGTGGTGATAAGATAAAAATGCCATTGGTGATTTTGCTGCTCCCTCCCTGCATTCCCTGCGCATTACCGCGCTGGGAGCGTGACCTGTCTTGTTGCTTGGTGCAAAGCAGTAATTAATGGAAAGTTTACGTGACTTTTAAGACTTTTTCCAGATGAGTTGCAGCAAATGGTTTGTGTGCCTGAGTCTCTTTCCTGTGCAGTGGCTGCAGAGGAGGTTCTGCAGAGCTGCAGAGGAAGAACAGGGGCGCGTTGTTGCAGAAGCAGCTCCGCCGCCTCAGCTCGTGCAGCTGCTCCCCTTGGTGTGTGCCAGGGCGGCTCAGGCTCTGTGCTGGGGTGATGCTGGCCTTGCAGATGCTCCTGGGAGCAGTTCAGGACTCCAGGAGGTCCTTCCAGATGCATTTGGAGGATCAAACCCAGTAGTTTTCACCTGGAGCCTGTGAGCTCCCAGCAAAGCAGTTGAGCTGTGTGGTCAGAGCTGGGACTTTGGCCAGGAGCTGACTGCAGTGAGAACCTGGGCAGACCTTTGTGTCACTACGAGGTTAGAAGGTGGAAGTTTTATGTCCTTACACACGTAAGGAGTCCTTAAAATGGAACAGAAGCTATGAAGGAGCGAATGTGGCAACAGCAAGAGGCTGTTGTGTAACCCAGCTGCCTTTGCTAATGTGAGGGTACTTTGCTGGCCATCCTCAGGGTGCAGAGCTGGGCAGGAATGATTCTCCTGGAACTGGCAGAGCTTGTAGCAGCCAGCCATAAACCCTCTGTGGCATCTGAGGACAGGTAATTGTCTCCTGTCTGTGCAGGTTGTGGACAGCAGCAGACATGGAGAGGCTGGTGGAGCGGTTGGAGAAGGCTGTGGAGCGCCTGGAGAGCGTGTGCCAAGGCTCTGGCATGTGTGGAGATTCCTCTGCCAAAGGTAAGGCCCAAAGCAGCTCCCTGTGCAGGGCTGGGAGGGGAGGGGGCAGCAGCTCCTGTGCAGCTCCTGTTTTTATCCTGGGGGCTGCGTTTGCTGCCCTGCCAGGATAAAATCTCTGTGGCTGCAGCACTTGCTGAGCCTCCTGCAGGTGGGAGCTGCAGCCCGGGGCTGTGGCAGCCTGTGGGGTGCTCCTGGTGATCCCTGTGCTCGGGTTTCCCCCACAGGAGTGGCTCAGTACGTGCAGGCTTTCGATGCCCTTCTGGCCGGGCCGGTGGCCGAGTACACCAAGATCAGCAAAGAAGTCGGCGGGGATGTGCAGAAGCACGTAAGGATTGCTGCTGTCCCCCTGCTGTCCCCCTGCTGTCCCCCTCTGCTCCCCCTCTGCTCCCCCTCTGTTCCCCCTCTGTT